ACTACAAAGGCACCAATTATTACATGTTCTTAGGTTACAAAAAGCAATAATAATTTAATTTTATAGAACACAGACCAGCAAGGGCACACTGTTGGAATTCCTTAATTGCAGCCACTATCAGCAGATGGTACTATTGGTACTAGAAATCTGTCTTTAAGCTGATCTTGGAGTTAGAAGCTGCACCCAAGCCTTATCTCCCTGTTATAGCCCTTTAGGTAAGCGTTGCTGTCTGGAACCCAACCATGAAAGCTGGGCAGCATCCCCAGCCCTGCCCCTGGCACTGGGCATTTCACACACTGCTGCTCCAGTAACGCTGAGGTCCTCCTCCCTTGCGTCCTTACAGTGCTAAGAGAGCCATTTGTTTATCTATTTTATTCAGTTATGTGATCAGCACATAAAACAATCACACTGGATTTTACCATGCCCCAGTGAAACTGCAAAGCTAGAGGCTCATTTCCTGGCATCCAAGAGGTAAAAGCATCAAGTAAAGCTACACCTCTCAAGAAAACTTTAAAAGGTTGTTGCAAGCCGTGATGAGACGCTGAGCAGCTAATCGCAAGGTAAAAACACTTTCCTCTGCAAAAATGTAGATATTCCCTGCCCCTGGGATTTTTCTCATCCAGTATCATCACAGTCCTATTTGCCTTCCTCTTGTGCTGTCATGGGTCACTTTCAGTGGAGGAAACCTCGAAACGTGAAGATGCAGCATTTTACGTCTTTTCCTTAGTCGAGAGTCATTTCTCCTTGCCAGCTTTGCAGTCCGAGAATTGCAATACTACAAGGGCGAGTATCTGTCGTCACGCAGCTTTACTGCTCGTGTGGATTTCTCCCCAGCAGCTGGGAGGAAATGTTCTTCTTGTTTAGACAAAAATATCAAAGGGTTAGGAAAAAGGAGTTAGGAAAAGCTATATACGAGGTTCATGCTTGAGAAACACAAGGGCACAGAAGACGTAGCCCCTAAGAAAATTCCACTGGACATTAAGTTACAATAATTTAGATCGGTTCATTTATGGTAAGTCAGCCATTTTACTGTTGACCTACTTTGTATCAGCAATAATTTGTCACAGTGCATTCTCCAACTGCTACTGAAAGAAAGGTTGAAACCATACATTAAGAGCATAGTGTCAAAGCAACTGATGTTAATTACACCCTGCAATTCCTATGTTGATGAAATTGTCACTGCTAACCATTAATACAGCATTTACTGTCTAAGCCCAGCTTGCTCTACCAACCCTTGAAAGCCACTAAATTAACATCCTGCTTCACAATGTTCACTTTATGCCACATTGGAATGTAAATCTGAAACATGTAAAAATAACCTCTGCTATTACACCAAGAATGTGTAAATATACATTCCTTTTTGGGAGAGCTGTTTATCTCCCGTCTATACATGTTTCACTCTTTAAACTAAAAACAGCCTTAATGTTCTTCAGTCAAGTGGCAGCTTTTGCCAATATAAACTATTCTCCCTAAAAATTATGGCATCAAGTAGAGCAAACTTGGGAAAATGTAGAGTGCTACTTGATTTATGGAAACTCAGAAATAAGCTCTACAGAGATACACAAAAAAGAAAACCAGTAATGTTCTTCATTTTATTCACTGCTAACCTGCAATAACAAGAGATCACACTCTCACAGCATAAGCAAGCAAGGTTAATTGGGACACCTTATGTGGATTTAGTGTTCATGTTCAGTGACATCTGCTTAATTTGGTGACAGAAATGTTTACAAGCACAAGCATGAACCAACCACTCCAGAAGCATTAACTGGATTCTTTACGGTTTGCAGATCAGTAAACTGTTTTGTAAGGTCCTACTGCTGCAGTACAGTCCCCCCTGCTTCTAAATCATCTCTCAAGCTACTCTGTTACCCATTTAAATTGAAGGCAGTCAACAGCACACAGGCTTAACAGTATTTAGCCTTCAGAATTGTCATCACTAGCTATGATACCAGACAGCACAACTTGATCTTCTGATCCAAGAAGACTTTTTTTAGTTGTTATTAGGAGAGACTTTTTTATCCTATGAACTGATTCAATACGATGTACAACAAAAGTAGAAGCTGGTGATGGTGTTTTCACATCAGAAGAGGGCCTCACATAGGTTATTTCCAAATTCTCATGTAAGCTGATAGAACAAACCAGTAATAAGAAAATCCCGTGGCACGACGAGGCCTGTCATAACAGACCTACCAACAAATCTTTGCACAGTCAGCAGAAAAGTAGAAAACTAAAATCAGCATTATTAGTAATTGAGTGAAAGCCCTCACATCTCTATTCAGACCTAAGAATGACCCTAAGATCTATAGGAAGAAAAAGATCATGGTCTGAATGACTGCTTAAGCCAGATGTACATCTCCAGAATAACCAGGAAAAAACCCAAACCACAGAACTGCAAAGAGAACAGAGGAAAAGAGATCCTTACAGGATACACATAATACAACTCGCTATAGCAGCATCGTTACCGAACATGAAACACAAAACTAAACTGGAGCACATAGGATCCAGTATCACACGTGGCACACTGGGGTAACATGCTCTGAGAAAAAGAAACATTCGCTCACCTGGCATAAACTAGAAGGCAATTGTACCCTTTATAAAGATATTCACTGAATGATCGACAAGTCTCAGCAGACTGGTCCGTCAATCTTAAGAAGGGCTGTAACATTACAGCTGCGGACAGCTGAGCCTGCCCTCAGCACCCCAACAGAACAACAGGATTATTCAGCGCTTCACAAGGAAAGTCCAACTAATTTAGCTAACGTGCACTGGGCAAGCAGGTCTGGAATGTGCTCTCTCACCTCTAATGTTCGCCTTAAAATAAAAGCCTTGCTGGTTTCATAATGGCACCTTAAATGAAATGCAGAAGTGACGAGCATTTAGCTTAGTGCACTGTTTGTTCTACCTGCACCAAAACACAGGGCTGGCAACAGCCTCCTCTTGCAGACATTACTCCATTTCTCTCAGGAGTCCTTCCTATGCCCGGCTGCCACAGGATGCCGAGGACTTGCAAAATCAGACAAGGGCACATTGTGTGCACACTGGGGTATATTTAAATTCCAGCTGGAAGAAATCCCAACAACTCTGGGGACACAGGTTGTACCAACTACTAGTTACAGCTGCAGTTAAAAATTATGCCATGAATGGAAGCTCCCTGCCGTAAAAGGACTAAAATGTTAACCATTGAAGGGAGCTGGCTCATTCTTGGTTCGGTGTCACATGCCAGCCTTGCAGATGGAATACTTGCTGCCTTGCAAAGCTATGCTTATCAAAAATAAAGTGCCAACAGCTGATGCTTTCATAACATGCATAGTTCACGTCAAAGACCAGCTATACAGCCACCCTTCCTGATGCTGTTCTTACTGTGCAGCAGCAAAGACTATAGGCAGCACCATGATACACCAAGCACAGCTCAGTCAGCAGCGAGCTTCAGGAAAGTTTAATACAGCTTTACAGGAAGCCAAGCCCAATGTTTTTCCTTCTATTTGGATATACCAATGCCGTCTGCGGACATGTAACGCAACAGAGATGTCTCCGAGTACTCCTACTGCTTGAATAAATGTCTTGCTTAACAACTTCAAAGCATCATCTTAGAAGTAGTAGAATTAAGGTTTTGAGATGTGAACCTAAACTTTGACTCTACACAACTAACACCTGTACTTTAAAGCAAGCTCTTTCTGACGCTTCAGTAATAGATCTATTGCCAGATCCAGATACTGAGCAAGATCTTTAAAGTTCACTGCTTCAGGAGCACTTAATGCTTCCACCAGCCTACACCAGAAAATCATAGTACTGGAGAAGCCCTAGCAGTACTTTGAAGTGCTGAATGTTGACATGCGTATGCAAATCATGGTAAAAATAGTATTTTGTAAAGCTGAACTCTCAAAAAAAGTGGGAAAAAAATCAGTAAAAAAAGCTAGACAGTTCAGCCTTATATTTTGCTTATATATAATCAGTTATATTACAGATGAGAAGACAAAGATTTGAACTGGAGATACAACACATTACTATCGCCACACTGTAAAGGCTCATAGTTGAGCAGGAACTGCCGCAACGCATGACAAGTCTGAAGCTCAGTTCTACCCACAGCTAGCAAGCTTAGTTGGCATGTAATGATTGTTTTCTTTTCCTTCAGAGCAGCAGCAGCAGTTCTCATAACTGAAGTGACCAAGTTGGGTAGACCTTTTATTAAACACTCACAGAACAAAGTACATGAGAGATAAGGAACAGAAAGTTCTTGAGTTTTACTCCAGCACTTTAACGAGTGTAAATAAAGTGGCAAGGAATTTCTCTCAAGTGTAACCACTGTGCTGCATACGAAATGACATTAGTGTGGTGCTTAAGTGAATCACATCTCCACATCATTCATTAACTTTTAATACACATAAGTATGGGCTTCTCACTTCGCCTCAACCAACCTTTTAAGTTTGGGAAAAAAGATCTACATACCTTTTGTTGAATCCCATCTTAATGATTTCTAAAGTGAAAGTCTTGCATCTGAAGAAAGCAAAGGCGAGCAACCTTTCTGTAGAGTGGTTAACCTGCTCTTAAGGCTAAGGGACACTTGTCCCAGAAATTCTTATTGAGCAGGGAATCCATCAGGGAAGAATTGAGAACTTGTGAGCAAGTAGGTCAAAATGGACATTTAGGTTTGCTATGTCCTTCATCAGGAAGCCAAGTAAACTTTAATCCTCTGGATTTATTCAAGTCATCTTTGGTGGATGTTATTTCTGTACCTTCTCCTCATATCCTGGAATTATTGGCCCTGGAGTTATTTCCACATTGACTGATTTTAAAAGGTTTAAAGTGACATGTACATCATTGTGTTTCCCTAAACTTCCCAAGCATTTATATACAAGGTCTTCATTAATCCATGTCTGTACCAAGTGTTCCCTAGCATCAGGGTGCCACTGATGTTCTTAAGCCTTTATAGTACCTATTTCATTTCTACTGTGAGATAAAAATAGTTTAACTGATCCTATATAATCACGACAAGAGATTAATTAAAATGCCAAGATAGGAAACAATTTATTATAGAGAGAAGAAAAATTTCTCATCCAAAATATAGAAATCTGTACAACTTTGCCACAATCAATATACATGAACTGTACAAATTTACACCAGTTCATAATTTACCAAATAAAAGATGACTAACAAAGTTCACAAAATAGATGGTGGTTTGTGGAAAAGACTTTTACCCAATTAAGAACAAGGAAATTACAAACCAGACCTCCACTTTCTAAAAATAAGAAGTTTACTCAGTCTTAGAAAACTACAAGCTAGCAAATGTACAGATAGCTGGCTGGTGCTAACACCACAGTTCAGACAGTGTCTTTATATGGTCTTTTTAAAGCCTGTTGCCATGGCAGATTCTTATCACTTGCTACTTTTGAGGCCAATGGAAAGATCTGACCATTTCCCCAGGTCATACTTACTAGTTTATCTTATGTACATTTATACATATTTGTAAGTGCTAGGTAAAAGTCTGAAAAATAAAATTTCCAGTACTATGGTGTTCATAACAATAAGTCTTGTTACTGAGCTGCCAAAAATGCTAACAATTAATAACTGTAATAGTGCAAATTTACTCTGCAAGACCTACTGCAGAGAATCACTTTATAAAGACAGATTGGGGTTGAAAATTGGTGTAGAAATTAAGTAAGATGTCTTGGAGAAACTGACCCTTCCTAGATCTTCTTCACTCCCTAGCAAGTTGAAATCATTTTGACTCACAGGCTATTAAATCACTGAAAGGTACTGTCCAAACTATGGCACTGTCACTTTAAAGTATACCACTCTAACGTGTGCCAGATCTTCACAGCTGTGACATGGTTTAAACTCCATAATCCATCCCCAGAGGTGCCCACCCAAAGTAAAAACCAAATTTATCCATCCATTTTTAAGGTGATCCATCCATAGACTATATCTTAACCTGATACAGTCATCATATTGTAGCTTTTGGAAGGGCTAGTTCTGCCCAAGAGAAGTTCCTCCTTACAGCTTATTCTGCTGTCTACCATTTGCATGTTGGTGTTATTTTGGCTACCTCCTGCTGGTGCAGCTTCATACAGCACACAGATTGAGCCATCCTCTCCAATACGATAGGACACTTCATACGGGTCAACCCATAGAGTGAGTTCGCTTGGAAGAAGCTGGAACAGTTCCTGACTGCTCAATCCAATCCGCTGTGCTGCCTGTCCAATGAGAGGATCCATTTTATGGTTGATCCGGATACATCGGTAACCTGATCCCTTGCATGGCTTTTCTGGGAACCAGTGGTGTTTATAATGTTCTATAAAATAAAAAAAAGAGATTATCCTCCTTAATTCTGTATTCAAAAAGACATACAGTGATCATTGTTCTCTTGCAAATTTCACACCTCAAGATGTTGAAAAGCTTGTTATTTTAGCATCAAGTGACCTGAAAAAATGGTTATAGCCTTTATTTTTTTCTGATGTTTTACGGTAAGTGCAGCATCCCTTGGGAAGTACTCATGTACAAAGTCACTGTTTCATGCTACCACGTTCAGCAAACAATGTTTGCCGTCTGAAAGAAGTGAAATGCAACTTCCTGGCATTCATAGAAACAAATATAAAAATACAGAAATGATTACATACATAGCAGAAATATGCAGGGGCTTACATACATAGCAGAAAATATGCAGGGGCTTCCACGAGCCGAAAAGGAAAAAAATGCACCTTTCCAGCCTCCTCTTGAGCTCACACCTATGCTTAGCCCCCCCCATTCTAAAAACACCCAAAAATAACTAGGGAAGGAGCCGGGCAGCATTTACCGACTGACTCAAGCTGTATTTCACCACTGCTCTTCCCAGTCTGTTTTCCAGGGCGAGACACCAGTGACTTCACTTACCTCAGGAGTTTTATCCCACCCAGAACCCTACATCGGTCTGAGGCTACTTGTAGCCACTATTAAGCACACTGGGACACAGACTCGGGACTATAAAAACCCACAGGGCAGCGAAGAAACCCTCGGTATTTGATCCTAACCGGGGCTGTCGGGTGACTACGAGATGCTTCCAGAAAAAAGGGAAACAGAGCCTCATCGTCCACCGCTTAATTTTACTTAACCCCCCCCCAAAAAGCAACCTGGGAGCATTTTTCTTGCTGGAAACCGGGCGGTGTGAGTCCCTGGAGCGGAGCCCAAGTCCCGGCTACTCCGAAAGCTTTGTCTACCGAGCCCAGGGGGGCTGCCTACGCGACGCCCGAGCTCCTTTTGTTTATAGCCCGCTCCCGCCGCCCGCACCTGCCCGGGGCC